GTTTTCTTGTCTTTCTCAGTATTTAGTAGATACACACATTCCTTGCTTGTAGCCTTCTTCAAAGACAGTAGTCGCAAGTCGAGTCTCTACTCTTTCATTTTGACACTGAAATCTTCCTCTCCCATCTCAATCTCTTCTCCTTTTAAGGGACTTTATGATTACTTTTGGCTCACTAGATTAATCTAGGTTAATTTTCCAGTGTTTTGCTCACTATGTAGCTGTGTAGCAACCCCTGCTGCCCATTGCCTGTAACGTGGCATATGGAGCAGTTCAAGAGTTGGCATATGGCTATTTTGAGGGATTTGTCATGGTTCTGCCTCCCATGTTGTAGTTGCTAGCATAATTTGGGTCTTACAGAGCTAGTCATATACTTAGCTTCAGAATTCGATAAAGGTGTAGATAGATGCTAAATAAAGTATCTAGAAAATGGTCATTTCAAATCTAAAGGATGAAAAACTATTGGCCTGTCTTAGACTAGATTCCCTAAATTGTACCACAAATGAGAAGCCTCTTGTTGCCTACAACTGTCAAACAAGGGCTCAGAGAGTATGCCAGGAAATGGGGTAAATGGGATAGTTTCTGGGGTAATCTCTACTCATGTTGAATGCAGTGCAATGAGAATGCATGCTTTTTTTTTTGGTGGGGGTTTTGTTTTCAATTTTGTGGTTTAAGTTTGGAATTGTGTTTTAGAATGTTTGCTTTAGGAGATCATTTACTTGCTAAGCTTGTGTTTTATGCCTTGCCTTTTGTTTGAGCACAGGCATCTGTGAAGCCTAATAACACAGGCATACTGCAACAGAATTCTTGAAGGAAAAGGTCATAAATTAATGGCCTGTGTCCACTCAAGCTATTTTGGAAAGCCAGAGGCTTTGTGGAAATGGATCCTCTCAGGAGGCGGGTGGAGAACATTACTCCAGTTTTTACATAAGTTCCAGGAAGATGGCGCTTCCCTGACTTTGTCTATATGACACTAGTGTCTTAACTGAGGTTGGCATTCTGGGAACTGTGACTGCTTGTTAATTAGTTTCTGGATTTATTTGTATAGCTACTCTCGCACACAGGCACACAGGCACACAGGCACACAGGCATCCAGTCAATACTGCTTCTCGTATCTTTGTGGTAGTGTTTTCACCTACAATCTGCATCTGCTCTTATTATTCATTCTCAGTTAGTTAGAGGCCTTTGGGTAGCATTCTTGGTTTCATCCATATCCTCTAATCAGGATTGAGAATACTGTCGAAGGGAACAGTTGTCTAGCTACTTTGGTTTCTGTTGTCTTGTACATAGTGCTGCACAAGGTACCATATTACATTAGCAGATATACAGACAGGGATGATGATGCCTGAGCTATCACCAAGGGGCAATTCTGAGAGTAGCTGATGAGTAATGCAGATGTTTTTATGATTCCTTAACTGTATGCCATCTGTATGAAAGAAAAAGTAATGGCACTTAAGTATACTTATTAAGAAAGAATGTGAATGTATTAAGTTAAAAATACATTCAGTTGAGCCAGGTGGTGGTGGTGCATACCTTTAATCCCAGCACTTGGGAAACAGAAGCAGGTGGGTCTCTTGAGTTGGCGGCCCTATAGAGGGAGTTTCAGGACAGCCAGGTCTACACAGAGAAATGAAAAACAAAACAAAAAGATGCACTCAAATAAACAGTTTTTTTCTCTAGCAAATTCTACATCTTTATGAAAAGGAATGTAGGGAAGAACAAAGCTGAATTATAGACTATGGACTGCGGTGGGTCACAGAGTACCCAGGGGGTTCTCACCTTTCCTTGAGAGGTAATTGGTGCTGATGCTGTGACTGGGGTTTTATCCAAAAGATGGCAGGAGTGGGACTAACCAAGGCTATACATTCTTTCTATAGAAATCCAGGTGAGGACAAAGCATGGAAAAGCATGAAAAAGATGAGACAGTTTTTACGTGAAAGAGATTTGGAAACACTGGTGTCATATACGTGGAAGGGAAAATGACAGACTCCAGGGAAGGACTGTAGTGAGAGAGAGGCTGGCAGTGCAGCTGCTCTTTTCCTCACACTTACTTATGTGTGCGCATGGGACGCCATTGTGAACATTGCGGGTCAGAGGACAGCTGCGACAGTCAGTTCTCTCCTACCATGGGAGGTCTTGGGGTTGAACTCAGGACATCAGGCTGCAGTTTTGGAGCTGTCTCTTGACAGCCCCAGAACGTTCTTTACAAATATTAACACAGTATAAATAAACATTTGTAGAAACTGCAGCTTTGAAGAGTTGACTGTTTTATACAGTTGAATTTTAATAGGAATTGTAGTTCTCCGAACCTATATGTTATACATAATATACTTAAAGAAATTCAAGTACTTGTTGGAGGCAAGCTGTTTAGAATATACCCTTCCAGTAATTTTATAAAGATTTATTTAAAGTTATGTGTGTCTGTCTCTGTGTCTAAATGTGGGCTCGTGAGTACAGATGCCTCTGGACACCTAGGGTTGTCAGATCTTTTGGAGTTGGAGTTATGAATGGTCACTAATTATCCAACATGGATGCTGAGAACAAAAGTTGGGTCCTCTGAGGGAGCAGTACGTTTGTTTTCTTATCCACTGAGCCTTCTCTTCTAGCCCCTTCACACTAATTTAAGACATTTGATGCTGTGATTTCAAACCAACAAAGTAAGGATAAATAGCATGCTGGAAGATAGGTTGTTGTGAGTTCAAGGCCAGCCTGAGCTACAAAGTTGAGTTTGAAGCTAGCCCAGGCTTGGGCTACATAGTGAGAGGCATTTCAGAGTACATCATCTATGCAGTAGAGTGTAACTGTTACCTGATTCATCATTGACTTAAGAATTAATGAAATGAAGTGCTCAGGATAGTGCTGAGCATGTTGCTAGTATTCACCAAACATTATTTTTATAATTACACTATATTTTTTCATGAAAGAGCTGGTGTGGAAACCATTGGCAAATATTCAAAACAATATGATTATTGAAATAAGCTCAGTTATTAGGACAAAAAAGAAAACTCATAAAAGCTGGGGGCGTGGGTTGGGTTGGTAGGGTATTACATGGATGAGCTTGGGTTTGGCTTCCTCCTGGATGCTAGCCGCACTGGCTGCACTGAGGGATAGAGGGCTGTGGGAAATGCTCTGAAATTCCGAGGAAACAGTGATTTGGAACCTCAATTCTATTTTTAGCCAAACCAGCTCCCAAAGTTAAGAACCAAAAATACATTTCAGGAATGTGAGGACAGAAACAATTTTCAAAAGAAAGGACTAACAGAAGGGCACAAGCAAAGAGGTCAGCAAACTTGGGGTCAAGTCTACATATTAAAAACATTTCTGTCAAGTTTAGGAATGTGATAGAAATGTAAACAGTCTTTGGAGCAGTCGAGTGATTCTTGTAAATCCTGTAAGAAGGGTGGTGGTAAGAAGCATACATTTGTGGCATTGCTTTACTTTTTAAAAATTTAACTTAAATTTAAACTGCACTCTTCCTGTTTACACAGTGGTAGAATTAAGAGCTGTTTTGGGTGGTGGAGATTAATGGTTGAACTCAGTTGACGGAGTTGCGTGGCTCAACAGTCTCACCAAATATAGACGGGTGGAAAAGCAAAGGAATGAAGTGGGCGCTCTGTCTCCAAGCCGGTTGAGCTGAAGTCAGCTCACTGTCTGCCGATGGGTAGGAAGTCCCTGCTTCATGCTTTGGGCAGGACTGTCCTAGTGGCGGCCATACTGTCCCCGTAGTACCTAATGCTCCTTGACATCGTTAGACAGAAATACCTATTGATAGGGTGCGTGGACAAATGGGATGGCTGGGTTCTAGGAAAGCCTGGATTTTAGAGAACAAGGGAAGGAACAAAAAAATTGTTAATTTCAACTAAGGACAGGAAAATATGGGAAAAGGAGGTCACCAAGAAGTATAACAGGAAAACATGAAAAATGTCAGGAAAGCTTACCCCTAATAAATACGCTCAGAGTAGATTTCTATTAGAGGTAAGAGATTCTCAGATTGGTCTTAGCCTAGATTATGAGGGAGTAGGTAACCATGGCATATCTGTATTCTAGAACAGTATTGCATGTTTGCAAGGCATTACCCATCATCCCTAGCTGCTGAGATGAGTATTGTAGTTACTGTGTGAGAGTTAGAGAGGAAGACTCTCGTGGCCACTGTGGAGATGGACCCACACATAGACTGGCAAGATTTGAAACCAAAGTGCTTTGTTAGGAATTAGAAGTAGCTGTGATTGGCTAAGCAGCAAAAGCTTTGGGCCTTCACTACACACGCTGTCTTTATGGCCTAACTGCCTTTGCTTCACATGGTTTACTTTCCCATGGTCCTAGGTAAACGTTTTAAGATAGGATGGACATCTGGTTGACCTACAGAGTTACTATGTGGGACCCAAGCATTTTGTGCTTTGTGATCTTCTTAGACTGCATAGACTGTCCTGAGTCAGGCATCTCTCACAGAAGCTCAGGAGGCTATAGTCAGGGAAGGGTGGCCAAGAAAGGATGGGCAGGCATCTTACAGCTGGGCTTATAAAGACTGCCTTTTCAGTAATAAGGTGCATCTGCCTCCGAGATAGGAAGTGTGACCACATACACACTCCAAGGGATGTGCTTAGTAACATTCTAGAATCTTCTTAAGTAAACTCTGTTGAAAATAGCATTTGCATTAAGTTTGAGAGTACAGAAATGAAATATTAGAGAATTCTTCTATGACCTGGGAAAGTTCTTTTTTACTACTTGGTAAACAATAGTGCCTTGAGATTATAGTGGCAACCTGTGGCTTAATGGAAATTTTAAAGAATTTTGCAAACCCCAGGATCACCAAATTCCTTTAAAAAAATACTGTGGTTTATGTGTTATCTGTTTAATCCAAGATTAGTGCTAAATTTATGGCATATTATAGAATGCTTATGATAGTAAATATAGTAAAAACTTGAAGACCTGAAAGTTGTATTTAGTATGATGTGGATAATTGCTTTTGAAGTTCATACAAATGCTTTTTAAATTTTCCCTAGGCTGGGCCATGCAAGCTGCTGCCTTTATCTTCATTCATAGGAAGTGGAAGGATGATAAGAGCCATTTTGAAGATATGATTGATTATTTTTGTGACATCCATGAACCACTACAACTTCTCATCTTTCCAGAAGGAACTGACCTCACAGGTGAGGCAGTCTGGGTTTGGGTCACAGAATTTAAAAACTTAGAAGCCACTAGTTAAATCTTATTCCTAACATGAGGATGTGAATATCAACAAAATTAATGGATGACTCCAAGGTCACTGAGGTAAGTAATGGTACCCAAGCTAGACATGGTGATACGATCCTAAAGGTCCAGCTATTCAGGAAAGCAATGCAGGCAGATCACAAGTTTAAGACCAGCCCGAGAAATTCAGTGAGTCAGTGTCTCAAAGAGTAAAATGGTGGCTGTGAGTAAGGCTCAGTGGTAGACTGTTAGGAGGTCCTGGTCCAGTAAGAAGAGAAAATTTTATGTTGGGTGGTGGTGGTGCATGCCACTATTCAAGAGACAGAGGCAGGCAGATCAGAGTTCAAGGACAGCCTCACTCAGAGCAGGTAAGTGCTCTACTACTAGAGTTGTATTCCCAGCTCTGCAGGATGTTTTTATAGATAAAATGGTGTGTACATCTTGGGGCCAGCTTGCAAAAGCCGTGTTTGTCATATAGAGAAAGTAGACCAGTCATGGAAAAAATTTTAAATACTTTTAATTGAGTTGGGGAAATTACATCCTTCCTTCCTTCCTTCCTTCCTTCCTTCCTTCCTTCCTTCCTTCCTTGTTTTTAATGAGTTAACAAAAGTATTTCTAATTTATAAAAAATTATTTAATTTAAAAGTATTTTTTAGTTATTAGAGTTCAACTTTAAATTTGGATTTTTAAAAACCCTATTACATCATTTTATATTTCACTTTAAATTCTCAAACTAGTTTGCTTGCGTATTTTTAGATTAATGTGTCTCACTGTTACTTTATATACATTCTGGTTCATATACTATAATTGGTTATAACTTTTTGTTAAGAGAAACTATATATTGGGAAATTTTAAAACACAGAAGTATACCCAAAGGTTGTTGTACTCCCACAGCCCATGAATGAACACAATTTGAAATTTTGGTCCATTTAGGCCATTATTTTGTCATAGATACACATGGATATGCACACATTCTTAGCAATATGTGTATGTGCATACCAGCTCCTGTTAACCTTAAAACTGGCAGACAGACCTTTTGATGGAAGTTTCTGTCCCACTGGGTCCTGTGGCCGATAAATCCCAAGTAGACACACAGAGGCTTATATTAATTATAAACTGTTTGGCAGATGGCTCAGGGTTCTTATTGGCTAGCTCTCTCTTAATTATTAACCCATTTCTATTCATCTGTGTATCTCCGCATCTCTACATGATCTTGGCTTACTGGTGATGCCTGAACCTCTTGCTCCCTCGGCAGCTACATTTCATCTCTCTCTCGACTTCCTGTGTTCCTCCTCCCAACATTCTCCTTGTTTGGTAGTCTGGCCTATACTTCTTACCTGGCTACATCCTGCCTGTCCATTGTCGGAAACAGCTTTATTCATCAACCAATAAGCGAAACATAATATTCACAGCATACAGAAGGACATCTCCCATCACAGACCTTGCATTTCTTTGTTTCAGTTCTCTCTTAATATTGTAATCTTTCGCATGGTTTGCCCTTTGAGGAGATTGGGTGGTTTTAGGTTTTATATTGTATATCAGGGTCTCTAAACAAAGGTCTATCAAGATATGCTTGAGTAGAAGTTAAGGTTTGGTCTAAGGGAGTGGTTGACTTGGCAAGCTCAGAGCAGGCTAGTGGTAGAGGGAGGAGGAGGAGCAGCTGAAGACTAAAGGTGATCTTCAGTGGAAGTCTTCTTCCTTGTAGGGCAGGTGGATACCCTTGTTTCTAAGACTGTTGATTTACACGAGACCTATTGCATTGTGGAGTAAGTAATCTGCCTTACTACTCTACTGATTGAATTTCTAATCCTATCTGAAAAACACCTTCACCGAAGCCTCTAGAATAAATGTTTATACTGTCCTAGTTTTGTTTCTGTTATGATAAATACTCTACTGAAAGCAGCTTAGGGGCGAAAAGGGTTTATACCAGCTCTCAGTTGCAGGCCACAGTTTATCACTGTGTGGAAGTCAGGGCAGGAACTTCAGACAGCCAGCTACACCCACAGTCAGAGCAGGGAGAGAATAGTGTATCCTTGCTTGTTCAAAAACCCCTCTTCAGTGACAGTCCCCCTGACATGCCCACTGATCTAGATAATTCCTCATTAAGACTTTGCAGGTGCTTCTAGGTTGTGACAAGTTGTCAGGTTTACGCAAAATTAGCTATCACAGTGGTTAGGGTCTAATTATTAGTTCCATTTTCCTGAGCTGGAAAGGAAAGCCATTTCTAGTTTTAACAATGATATTACATACAATTTGATACTCTTACACATAAATTTTCTTTAGTAAATATCCTAGTGTCTGAAACATTGTATACAAAATTAATTCCCTTCTTCAGATCTAATGTTAGATGAGGAATAATCTAATAATATATACAAATGTCATAAGAGTTTGTGTAGAAAAATAAAGCAGGGTGGGTAGATGGAGAGCAAAGGCAGGGAGCAGGGCGCTAGTCTGCAAGGGTCCGGGCAAGCCTCCGCATTCAGTTTCTGTGTAAGGAGGGGCCGTATGTACAAGGCAGAAGACTGCATCTGCAGCAGGGGGCCTTCTGGGTAATTGAACAACAGCTGCACAGGCCTGAGGTTGGAACATGCCCGGGTGACTTGAGAAGATCAGAGTGGCCAGCAGTCCTGTGGGTGTGTGGAAGCCGTGCTGGAGTGGGAAAGTTGGGGGGAGTGAGCTGACAGGAGGCTGCGGTTGGAAAATGGGATGCCAGTACAGTTACCAATAATGATGGCCTGGGAATGGGTAGATGAAGGAGAGGGAAGAGAACATTGCCACACTAATTTGTCTGATTATTTCCAACTTCTCAGAATGTGTTTGCATTCACATCTGCAACAGAATTCAGTTATGCCCGAGAATCTCCAGAGTCACCAACAACTGGAAAAGAGACTGTTTATCTCTCTGGTGACTCTGGTGCCCTAACCCCAGCTGAGGTCTGTCAGCTAGCTGTCACAGAAGCTCTGTTGTATCACCCTGTACCCAGGATATTCACAGACTGGAGGGGATGAGCATCCCGGTTTTCATGTCCAAGGCCTTTCCCTTTAGTTGCTGACTCAGTGCCTCTGTCAGAAATGACACAATGCCTTCCATGAGAGTGTCTGCTGGATATTGTGTTGGGGGTGCATCTGTGGTCACTGCAGGGCTAGACAACTCAGCAATTTACTCCTAGGAAAGTTGTGCTTATGTAGCTATTCTCCTCACACTTGTCTATAAGTTTCCAAATAGAGCTGAGCTACAGGTCCTAACGACGCTGTCATCAGAAGGTGTTTCATGATCTCCAGTCAAGGCCAAATTTTTGAACACTTGATTTTCCAATTGTATTTGCTGAATGATGAGTTTGTGTCTTCTTGGAATTTGTAAAGTGACCTCATGGAATGGAAAAAGAAGTTATTGCCAACAATTGGAACATATACTTGTCTCTGTAACGATATGCAGCCAAACCATGTTCAGATGTTTGTACATGATGTGCTAATCATGTGCTTATTTTGTTGTGCAGTGGTTTTGGTTAGTAATATTAGCCACTCTGCTTGAGCAAGACAGATATTTCACTTTACTTTGAAAGCCTAAATTATTGGGTTAACGAAAATGTTGATCTGATATATTTGATTGCTGGTTATTTCTTCTGATGTCTAGATCCTTGTCTTTTGTTAATTTTCAGTTTTATTAGCATTTTATATTATATTTGAACTTCATTATTTAAGAATTTTGTTATTATTGGTGGTGCTGGGGATTGAACCTAGGGCCTTGCACATGGTAGACAAGTTCGCTATCACTGAATTATATCCTCACCTCACATAAGGATTATCTTTAATGAAAATTTTAGCTTATTAGTGTTTTGTTTTTTATATCAATTTTCATCATATATTGGCTTTCATGAAGTCTTCTAAATTTAACATTTGGGATATAAATTTAAGAGAACTTACTAAGGCTCTGTTCATAACATACATTTAGATATATCCACACACATACCAGTAGATTGTAAGGGATTATTGCAAATATTTGCATTTGGGACTGAAGAAATGGCTCAGTGGTTAAGAGCATTTAATACTTTTGTAGAGAACCTGGTTTGGTTTCCAGCATCGACATGGCTGCTCATATCCGTCTGTAACTCCAGTTCTAAGGAATCTGATGTCCTCTTCCGGTCTCCTTGAGCACTGCACAGACGAGGATACAGTACTCACATACTCAAAATGTTACAGACAGCACACAATGGAATATGTGTCTTATGGGGGGGCAGGCAAAGTCTCCCTATTCATTATGTAGACTAAAGTGGTCTTGAACTCCTGAAGATCTGCCTGCCTCTGCCTCCTGATTTCCAGGATTGAAGGTTGTGCCCACCACTCCGGGTGGTATTTTTAATCCAAGGAATTCTTCCTGTTTTTCCTTACCTCACTGTCTTCTTTTACTTTATGGCTTCTAACAGTCTATTATTTTGTTTAGAAAATAACAAGGCTCGGAGTAATGATTTTGCTGAGAAGAATGGGCTTCAAAAATATGAATATGTCTTACATCCAAGAACTACTGGCTTTACTTTTGTGGTGGACCGTCTAAGAGAAGGTAAGTGCTAATCTTAAAATGTGTGTTTAAGGTAAATGTGATACAGACTTCTGAGCTTTATATGCAGTTCTCTGACATCTACTGAGCCATATTAGGACAGTGCTGACCTATGACTAATCATCACTGTCTTCTTCTAAATGCTATATGCCATAAAATTGTCTGTGCATAACATGAAAGGCCTTGAAACACCGTGTAAAGAGAAGGTCCACTTCTTTCCCTAAATGGCATCACTGTTCTTTTAGAATCTGATGTGCTTCAAAATATACAGGATAGTATGCTAAAACAAAGCTTCTTTACATCAAGTACTGTGGTCCAAAATCACATTGGATGGTAAAACCAAAACTGCTCATGGTCAGTTTGGTTTATTTTTGAAATTCTGTGATCATAACAAACATGATGTGGACTTGTGGTCTTGACTTAAACCCTGCCAGTGGACACTGTGTGCCTTGCCTGTCGGCATGGAGAAGCTCATGAAGGGTGGGGTTCTTCATGTCTGTGGAAGTGGGGCAAAGGCAGACAGGTGGTATGCTCACTCTTGCGTGCTTCTCTTGTCTCTCTCATCTCTGGTGTTAGACACCACTTCAGCTTCTAACTTTGACAATACGGCTTCTATTGTATGTATCTAGGGACTTCTTTAAAAGTATGTGTGTCTTCAGGAAACACATTGTATTTCTCAGTTAATAGAAGATGACTTTGGGACATACCTTTTACTTAAAGATCATCCTTAATACAGAAGAGATAATGAGGAGGTTCTTTTATAGTTGATCAGAGTCCATTTGTTATGTTCTCTGTTCTGAAATCTAACAACCTGATAACTTCACTGTACTCTTTGAGAAATGTATGTTGCTTGGTTGTCACTCAGAGCGCTAGTCAGTAACCACATGTAGTCATTTTTCCTGGCAGAATTAATGACTGACTCCCCTCTTCACATTCTATATATATCATTAAAAAAAAAGAGAGAGTCAGAGATTCAGATGATCTCATTTGCCTTGGTTAGAAAACCAGGCAATGATTCTGTTTATTTGATTTAGAACTGTGGACTAGAAACCTGTACTAAGAAAGGAGAAACGTGCTGATGCTTGTTAGAATAGTAATAGCCCTGACATTGAGTATTTACAAGTATAAGGCATTGTGCTAAATACTTTCAATGTCTGAGTTCACTTCCTCCTCACAAGCCTCCAGAGCAGTTTTCATTATCACACAAAACAAGGGCAAACAGCAAGGTGAAAAGTTACCAGCTACTGGACTAGTGTTGAACAGAGAAGTATATGCTCCTTCCTTTAGAGTATAATTGTAGTTAGTCTGCAGACCACAGAACACTGTCGTAATCTGAGTGAGCTGGATGGTTTTAAGAGAGGATCTAAAAGAAGGGCAAAAGGGTGGCCAGCTAATGGAAGGAAACTGTCCCAGGCAGGAGCTGGGATGTGTGTGAGGTGAGTGGCAGAGGGGCAGGCGCAGACTAAGGAGACACACACTGCCTGCAGGGCTGAGGACAGATTGACTCCTTGGGAGGAGATGGGGTTCAAGTGAATAGAGTGAGGTCTGACCAAGGCGCAGCAGTGAAGAGGATCTTAGAGGCACCGCGTCCAGGGTATGACTTTAGAAAAGACTAGAAGACTCAAAAGGTGGCCCAGCACAGCTTTCTGGTCTTCAGGCTGTGGACATCTGCTTTTGACAGAGCACTGTGAAAAGAAAGCTTGTTGTTACAACAAATGGTCTTATAATTAGTGACCCAATAGAACCCTAAAGGCTGCACATTAAAACAAATCACCATAAAGTGTAATCCTCATGCTTCTGCCTGCAGCTGAGTTTAGTGTTGCAGCTGTCTTATTTCATGGACAGCAGGGGCAGGCAAACATGAGTTCAGAACATCAGGAGTTAAGGGTAAAGCCAGAGCAGGCATTACTGAGCACGACGAGAGGGGGAGCAAGAAGGGATCCCATGTCTCTCTTAAGAGTCTGTTTTACCACGACTGAGAACACTGGAAAACTCAACTCAAAAAATGTAACACTAATTATGTAATGCTTTACAAGTAGGTTGTTTCTGTAATAGTAATTGCAGCTTGCTTTGAGTGCCTTAATTTTTACCATCTGTGTACTTGCTTTATAGTCTTGCTAGACTATTCCTTTTTTGAGGATGTGGAATTGCCCGGCAAATGAAGATAATCAGCTTTAGTTGTGTTGAGTCTTTTAAAAAAAGTCTCCAAAAGTAATACAAAGTAGTACTCTAGCACGCTTTTTAGGATGCTGTATGTCATACTGGTAGGTATCTGTTATGGGTGATTCATATGGGCTCCTAAACACACAACTTTTCAATATATGATCCTTTTTTTGTAAATACTGAAATAATCAAACTCAAAAAATAGTTACCAATTTAGAGGGAAAAGACTTCATTTTTGTTTTAATATTATTTATAATAAAATGTATAATGTAATCTTAAGCCTTGAAACCATTGCCTCCAAACACTATTCATTATAATCTTTGGTGATTTATAATTTTTCTTTGATTTCAACAAGTAATGATTTGGTCCAACCATTATAATTTTGTCATAGATGGTGCAGTTGTAATAATCATGTCCAACAGTAGGAGGCACAGGTGTGTTCATTTGAAACCACTGAGTTCTGTTGAAACAACCTGAAATAAGCCTTGCCTGACTGAGCAAGGGAAGCAGATGTAAACATTTTTTTAAAAGTATGATCCAGTTTGAGATAGGACTTAGTCTTCAAGAAGTTTATAGTCTTAATGGATAGACATACAAATGGTATACAGTGACAAATGTCTAAATTAACATGTATGTTAAGTGCTAAGTTTTATGCGAATATTATGCCAAATAGTACAGAGTGCTCATTTAAGAGGGTCTGGTGGTGCTGAATATTGATGTGCGGCTCCTGTAAGAAGCTGAGTTTCCCTTGAACACTGGAGACTGTGAGCTGGATAGGCAGGAAGAGCATTTGTGGATGAGGAAGTACAAGAAAGGGTGAGGCAGGGCCAGTGTGGACCCAGCAGTCACCCTGCAAGACATTAGCCTGAGGGACCTGAGGACAGCTTGTTGAATGACAGTCAGTACTTTAAATGCTGTTTGGAGCCCTGACTGTTTAAAAATGTAATACCTCAGAGTCATAACTTTAGTCTATTAATAGTTTGAGTCACCAAACAAATTGGCTTATCTATTAAGACTCCAAATGATCATGTAGGTATGTTTAAGTTTTAGGTTTGAAATCAGTCATTTCTTTTTAAAAATTAAATCTGAATTTCTGTTTATACTTAGTTCATATGCATAAAGTCTCCATAGGAAGAAATGGAGGATATAGCCTTTCCATGAACCTGGATGGCAGTGAGCTAAGCACTAACGAAAAAGGAAACTCCTACCGGGTAATTTGGATTAGCACCCTTGAATGGAGCCTTTCGATTTGTTCAGGAAAAGAGAATTACCAACTTTGAACCTTGAATTTATGCATATTTGATATCTGTTGGACCTGTGTCTGGCTCTCAGGTGTTGGTTTGAATGGAGCCTTTCGATTTGTTCAGGAAAAGAGAATTACCAACTTTGAACCTTGAATTTATGCATATTTGATATCTGTTGGACCTGTGTCTGGCTCTCAGGTGTTGGTTTGAATGGAGCCTTTCGATTTGTTCAGGAAAAGAGAATTACCAACTTTGAACCTTGAATTTATGCATATTTGATATCTGTTGGACCTGTGTCTGGCTCTCAGGTGTTGGTTTGAATGGAGCCTTTCGATTTGTTCAGGAAAAGAGAATTACCAACTTTGAACCTTGAATTTATGCATATTTGATATCTGTTGGACCTGTGTCTGGCTCTCAGGTGTTGGTTTGTAGCCCTTCTTTGCTGGCAGCGTACTCATAGGCGCTCAAGCGTCAGCAACCTTGTGGGGCTTTAACTTCTTGAACCTGAGGCTTGATTACACCTACCTGCTGACAGCCTGCTGCTGCAGTGGCTTTATATAGGGAAGGAACGAAGCCAGCATAGGTCACCACCCTGCACAGCAAACACTCTATTTTAGTCGGCGAGCCTCTCCGGGGTGGAATTTCAGCCTCGCTTCTCAGCAGCATGTGAAAGATGGCGAGGAAGATAGGCAGGCACACAAACAATTGAAATATTGAGGGCATTAAATACCATGTACCCTGACCTTTCATGGCACTTTTCTTAATTGCTGAGAACCATTTATAAATATGCCAAGACCTTTCCGTTATGTTAAAAAATGTGATTATACACTGGACCTTTGACATTTACAAAATATTTTCTGAGACCTATTCCACTTCCCCACATTTGCAGATACCTTTGTAGATTAGCATCTGACTTTTCTTCGTGGTCCTGTTATAAGGAGCAAGTCCTGTCTGTTGATCGTGCTACATATGTGCTACGACACCTAAGAGGAGATTATGTATTGATCAGTGGGGTGGAGCACACAGGCCACTTAAGTGACTTGGTGATTTACATGTTGTAAATGGCACTTCTCTTTTCTCTGTTCATTTTAACTCCCATCTACAGCAAAAACAAAAACAAAGGAAAAAAAAAAAAAAAGGCTGGGCGGTGGTGGTGGCACATACCTTTAATCCCAGCACTAGGAGGCGGATGCAGGAGGATCTCTGTGAGTTTGAGACCAGCCTGGTGTACAAGAGTTAGTTACAGGACAGCCTCCAAAGCCACAGAGAAATCCTGTTTTGAAACCCTCCCACCCACCCATGCCCAAATAAAAGAAAAAAAAAAAAGAGCTTTGCAATGTGGACAGATCCTGTCTTTATCTTCTTAGTGAGCCAGGTTATGACAGCCTTCGTGATTTATATATATATACACACACACACACACACATATATATATATATATAAATCAATCATCCACCTGCCATTAGCAGATGCCCATCATGTTCCAGGCAAAGAGTCATACATGTTCTCCCTTACCTTGCCTATGTAGTAGAATCATTCGTGATGCCTTTTACAAATGTGGACACTTAGCTTCAGGCCCAGACCTGCTGGTGGTGC